ATTTGACCATTTTAAAGCCCAGATAATTCTTCACAGCGCGTTGAAATATATAGTTTAAAATCATAGCTTTGCTTCAAGTGTAGGCATTTAAACTGTGGATTTTTTTTTATTTTCCTCGGCTTCAGAGCTTCAAAAAACCATGGTAAGAATATTTTTTCTATAAATGCCCGTACAATTGTCTATAAATGTATATTTTTCATATCATTTTGTAAATGATCAAACAGCGTGTGAAAAATGAAACCATAATTTTTAAAACTAAGAATCTATCATAGCATTTATTGTTATTTACAGATTCAATAAATTAAAAGTATACTTGCATGTACTCAAAAAGTAATTATATCTATATTTATAAGTATTTTAGGTAAAAAATAATAAATTCGAAAAATATTTATGTATATTATTATAATTATGACGTGAAAGCCTAGTTTGAATTGTGGACTGACTCCATTTATTAAAATAATGGATTCACTTTCATACTTACACTAGTCATTTCGATCTTATTTCAAAACTAGAACAACTCTAGTTTATTTATGCTGTCAAACACAGGACGCCACAAATAAAACAAAATGAGAAAAACCGAACATTCATAAACCTTTAAGGCTCCGTATTGCAGCAAGAACAAAGATTTAATCTGACTACTATTCAACTGGGAACTTAATTTATTAATAAATAAGTATACTTTTAAGTATAAGAGAAAAATTTTAAATTTTCAATGCATAAGTTTCTGAATTTAGAAAAAAATGCTAATTTGTATTAAAATAATAAAATAGATGTTAAATTTTTGTACCAATTTAAGAATTTTATATATATAATACTACATTTCTATATGTTCTTCAAAAAAATAAGTTTCTGTATTCTATTTTCTTTTGCAAATAATATTTTAATTTGAATTTTGAAAATTTGGAAAGCTTCAGCTTCTTTTTTTAGTTTTTTTTAATTAAAATGCTTTCTAAATTTTCTTTAACTGTCTTAATTCTCTTTAATTGATAACTCGTAATGAAACATCTACACGTATTTACATATCTTTTTCCTCAAAATAAAATTACAAATTAAATAGTATTATTTTATGCGGTTTGTTCAAATTATTTAATTCCTGCATTCATTTAGGACTTACCAGGGTTTAAATATTTAAAAAATATTTCAATTAAATAAATATACATCATAAATAAATTTATAGGTTTTAAATTTCTTACTTTTTTGAGACTCTAAGTAAAACAAGAGAGTTTGAAAGCATGTGTGTCGGTTTTTTAAGTGAATATTGGTAGAATTTTATTTTTTATGTTTTTATTTCATTAGCTTAGTATAAATACATTTAATCAGTAATTATATATTGATATTTAATAGTTTGAATTTTCCTATAAAGTTATAGTATAAATAGCTTAAAATTAATATTTTCTTAAATTAATATTTTTTTGAATAAGTATCCTCTGAAAGAGTTTCACTTATTTTATTTTATATTCCTGAAAAATTCATTTTCATAGTGGAAATATTTTTTTGAATGATATGTTAATAAGAAATTTAATTGTGTGAATATATTTATTTAATAGACTAATTAAAAGTCGAAACTAGCCAGTCACAAAACTGAAATCAATAACGATTTCGAATGTATTTGTAAGGCTATAAAGAAAAATGAACATGGTTGCGAGTTTAGAAAATCAATGATAAATAGTAAAGAAACATTAGAAAGTTGCTTACAAAACATTTTTTTTTCATAAAAATTGCTTGAATATTTCTATATACGTAGTAATTATGGATAGTTTACCAAATTTTCTGTCTAAATTAGATTGCTTGTTTTATTATTTCACTTCTAGATATTTAAAAAAGAAATCGAAAATTCCTGGAAATTATATCAATATGAAATTATATCACATTGATATATTATTCACATAATATATAACCTCGTAATTATTCATTAAAATTTTTATTTAATGGTTAGAAATTCATAGCACTGTATCCTTTATTGTCCTTAAATAATGCACAAGTGGAACAATTCGTAGGAGATCATGTTCAGTGAATTTAATTTTACAAGTTTGACGAAACATATATTGTCTGATATAAGACAAAGAGTCACCTCTTTGACGTAAGACACCTACGAGAATAAAGTCCCCCATAAGCAAGTTAATGTATGAACAAAGTCTCTCGTTTTTTAATTTACGGCATGTAATTTAACACTAGCGTTGATTGAATCTCACTGTCAAATAAAATGTTTAGTCGACAAATATGTTAAGCCAACTTTAGAAAACACTTAACTTTTCATGTTTAACAATAAATAATTGTAGCTTGATCACAGTCATCTAAGAACAAGTTGATGTACTTACAATCTCTATAAGTTTTCAACTATGCTATTTCATACAATCGTTGATTGTTTCTCATTGTCGAACAAAGAGTTAAGAGGCAGAGCATGTTAAGTCAATTTTTCAAAACACTATTTTTCAGATTTAACAACAAATAATTAAGGCCTGATCTAAGAACAGAGTCATCTAAGAACAAGTTAATGAAAGAACAAACTAAAAAAGCAATTACTTAGTTCACGAAATCTTCATGTTCAATAACAGTAAAACAGTCATTTTAAAAGTTTTTACCTTTCTATATCATTTATATTAAGAACCACGAATGCGATTGTTACTAGTCTCGTTGTAATCCTTTGTTCTACCAAGAACGATTTTCAACGTGACTTAAACCACTGTAGTCCTTAAAGAGATATTCTTCGTTCTGAATGGTCTATTCCAGGCGTCAGAAATGTCGTTTGCATCAACAAAAGAAATGCAATACGAATGCTTGAAAGCTCTTTTCGAATGAATAAAACAATGACAAAAAATTCGTGCACCCTATTTGCATGTCCCTTGGAGGAACGAAAGGGGCCAGGAGTAAAAAAAAATTCATTTTTCTTTCGCGCTTGCCTCAAAACAGAAAAAGAAAGATGGCTGGTTGCCCAATAAACACTTTGGATTTCAATAAAAAGCAATTCTTGGTGAAATAGGAATACGATTTTTTTTCCGAAAGGGGAGAAAACTGGTAAAAAACACATAAAGGAGGCACAAAACGCTCCTAGAAATTGCTTTTAAAACGTATGGAAAAGGAATACTTATACTGATTCCACAAATCCTAAAAAGCTTTATACGTTTTATTTTTGTTTATTTTGTGCCTATTTACTTATTTATTTGCGCATCTACGTGTGAAAGTAGCGCAATTTTTAAGCACACAAATACATCATGCTTTTTTTTTACCGTTTTAGTTTAACGTAAATCTACCGTTGAAGTACAATTCTTGTTTGCTTCATTCATCACGACGTTCGTAAATTCTTTTCAGTTTTGTCCACTATCTCATCGAACTTCAATTTACGAACAGCCATTGAATTTTTCATGAAATGGCTGTTTGCCCAATAGAGAGATGCTATTGAAATCGTTGCTGTTTGACTTTGAGCCATATGAAAAAGAAATAAATTCTCTTATCCATCAACGAATAAAAGCTGCCCATAATTCCATGGATATAAGAAAAGCATTCGAGTACCTTTGCCGTTGCAGTTTGGTTCGATTACGTTCGTAAAAGGTGGACTGAAATCTTTTCTTTTTCATTCATATGTTTTATCGAAATATTTTTATGTAATATTCGTGTTATGTAATTATCGTGCAGAGTTTGAGCTTTGCCCTGAATTTATACATAAAATTCAATAAAAACATTTTTTTTAAAATCTAATTTACTTAGGATTATGTTTCATCTTTAGATAAAGTAAGAATTGAAAATATTATTAAATAATAACTAAATAAAATAAGGAAAGTATTTGGGGCAATTTTTAAAACTCTTAAATATAACATATCACACCTATCACAAACGAAATCTATCGAACTTACGATACTTACGAACGAAAACGATTTTAACCTATCACAAATTTGAAGGCACATCATTTCAATAGCGTACAAAAATAAAAAATGATAGTTGCTAAAAAAATTCCATTAAAGAAAATTAATTATGTCCTGCTGGCAAGCATACGTTTAAGAGAATTAAATGAAATTTTGTATAAATGCATTATAAAGTATGAGCTTTATAATAGAGCCATTAAGTAGTTGCCTTGCTTTCAGTAACAAAATCTTAAACGGTCAAATGGCGAAGCCTATTTTTGGTATCATAATCGTCACTGTAAAAAAAAAACTTATGATGAATTTGTACTGTCTGTCTAACCAAAGAACTCGTCTTTCCACAGAGTCTGAGGCTGTCTATTGCTATGGAAACTAGAAAAAACATGTTTTAAGAGGGGAAAATTCTGATACATCTCACGTCCAGGCGAGTCAAAACTTGTCCCACAATGTTTATTCTCGTCTTTACTTGAAATAGTTTAATTCCGTAACCATAGTCACTAACAATGCTCCAGATAATTGGTGAGGAAAGTTCTTTCGTTAGACTTCGTTAGTACTTAATTGGGTTCTTATTTAGATTTGATTTCAGCTCTGCCGTACACGATGTAACCGTAGCGGGAAGATAGATGAAGGCATATTTAATGTGCATATTATTATACATGAAGGCATATTATTAAATCTCTAACATCGTACTAGCTCCATTTCAAGTTATTTTACTGTAAGGTGTTTATAAATAAAAAAAAGTACAAGATTCTGTTTGAAACTTTCGGTGTCCTGTCACCGTTACAGTAGCCGTGAGATATAATCGTTCTTAACTCTTCTTAAGGGCATAACTTATAATAAATTAAAAGAAACTTCCTTATAGAAAACTTCGTACCGTTTTCTTTAAAAATATGCTTCTCAGGTTACCATTATAATTGTTATTTATTATATATCCTCGTACTAAATATGCTGTTAAATATCCAAAAGCTTTTCCTTTCATATTTAATCATTTATCTGAATGTCTTACTTTTCTATTGATTAGGGGTGATTTTCCGCATGTTCTGTTTAAAATCAGTGCGCGCGATATCTCGTTTTATTGTTTGTCCTCTAGAAGTTTTAAAACAAAAATGGTACATTCCATAATTATCGAACATTCCAACTTACTCTTTTGCATTTGACTTTCATGCTTCCGACACTTCGCTCTTCTGTTCTGGAACCAAACCTATTAAAGAATAAAAAAATTAATGAACGAAAGAATTATGATGCAATTATTAAATTAATTATCTTAGATATAAATTCTTTAGTTTGAACTAAGTGGTACAGTGGCTCATTGGTCCAGCTATCACATGTGAAGAACTGAGTTTTGGAACTCGGTCCACCGAACTTCATAGGTATCAATCTCTCTGGGAATTAAAGATGGCTAGTGCGCTGAGTTGACCATAAGGTTGATCACGAAACTGTGCAGTATTAACTTACATTACACCTTGATCCCTAATAGACAGCTAGAGTTTACCTATTTTTTGTTAAAATAATTTGAGATAAATTCAAATTACTAATTTAAGTTCATTCTGATTTATAATAATATGTATAAGAGACTGTATTCTATAAGACTATATATGTATATTAGACTATATAAGGACTATATTCTGATTATAAAAATATTTTAGGCGTTAGAAAGGAATATCTATCAGCGTTTTGTCTAAACATTACTAAATATTTTAGAAAACCTCTAGACACCCAAATATTTGAGGAATTAATACAAAAGTAATTGTTAGTTCATGAGGCAAAAGGAGCTATAAAAAATGTAATAATGATTTAGTATTTCTTAGTTTATTTAAGAAAATCAATTTTTTGAACGAAAAAAAAGAAGGAAAATACAGCTGATTGAAATTTTTTAGAGACTCTAAATATCTAAAAGAGATATCTAGAATTTACAACTCGAATAAATTAAATATGAAGTGTAAATTAGTAATCTTTTCAATTGAAAATTTTTATACTCCCAGAACAGAAAAGCGGAAAAAAAAATCGTAACTAGTTTGTTTGTTTTTAAAATGAGTAAATAAAACTAAACCTCTAGATTACTTAGTACTACGTATCCAGGGCTTTAAATAAAGTAATTTGTTTTCAATTTGTTTCAGAAATTAAAAATTAACTTGAAAGTTATGATTTTGATGTTTTTCTGTGTTTTCCTCTGTTGTGATTCATTTTTATTTTGATATTTTTTTTATTTCTCTTTTGGTAAGGGTTCTAAAATTGTATACTAAGGGTGGTCATTACGAAACAGCACTTAATGAGTATGTTACAGTTAAAGTGTATAAATGATTCACTCTAAAGATTATCTAGTTCATGTGCAGATTAACTAAAGTGATACGTTGAAGTACCGAAAAAATTGTTTCATTTCTCAAACTGAGAAAATCTTCAAACTGCCAAAACAATCTGCACTTAACCTACAACACTCTCAGAAATAAGACTCTCTTTGTTAAAGATTCAAACAATCCTTGAACTACATTTTGTTAATTTCAAAAATCATTTCGTCTCGAAATCGCATGATTTGTGACAAAACATGTGCTCCTAATTATGTTCTCTCAAATGTTTCCTGAACTCGGAACCTCATCGTAGTGCGTTGTGGAGGATGGTTAAATAGAATGACGGAACTAGCATGAGGACTAGACTGTTCAAAATAAAGTGACCAAATTAGCCATCCGTTTTCTATGGTGGTCAAAGATCGGCCTCGTACCATTGAAATAGCGCGCTTGAATCCCGCTTCGGGTGTGGGTGTAATTTGTCCATCTGTTGTTTTATTTGTCTTATTGCGCTACATGGTGCCCTCTATAAAGAGATGATTGTAAGAGAAAGTTAGATACATTTGTCACTACGAGTTTTTTTTTTAATTATTTTTTTTTTATTTCATTTATTTTTTTAGAGAAAATATAATGACGAAATATTTTTTTACTATTGATGAAGTTCGTTTCCTCGAATAAGTGACGATAGTTATTTCCTTCACTTAGAAGAAATGTTCGCTCGGAGCGGACCAGGAAACAAACCCAGGAAACAAATTTGAATATTCATTTTTTATAGTGTAGGCAATCATCAAAGTGAAATTAAGAACTTTGCTAGAACAATAGAAACGTTTCTGCACCTTTAAATCAACATAATGTTATTTATTTATTTTTCGCTCTCTAAAAATCAAATAATTGCAATCAAAACAATTTAAAATATTATTACAATGAGAAAAATTTTTTAATTTGTCAATGATTTTTTTAATACCTAAAAAATCTAGTAGATCAATACAATAAAATAATCTACAAACTAGTTGATAGAGTAAGAGAAACGAAACCTCGAACCTTATCAATGCGAAAAACTTTAATGCGCATATTACCAAGGTAAATTGCGAGGAAAAACTCTCTATTTTACACTTTAGCGGATTACTCTAGTCAATTATGCAAAATTTGGTAGGTAAGGTTTTTCGAGCTATAGCGATAGCATGTAAAACTACTTGATAAATAATTTCTTTCGCTTCAAAAACATACACAAATCGGAAATAACAATTGACATGTTTCAAGCTCTCATAATCAAGCCTTCCCCGTCATAACATGTAATACACTCTAGAAATACTAAAAGAAAAAAAAATATCTCTGTAAAAATAAAAAGCATGAAAATATCCATAAGCAGTTTTGAAATTAGTAATTTGTATTTAAATCTATTTTTCTACAAGTTGTTATTTTTCGAATTATCCTTAATTATTCCACTATATCCATTTCGCTTTCCTGCCACGTCCAAACAACCCCTCCTCCAAAAATTTTGATTTAAAGTTCCGTTGCGAAACTGCGACCGCATCCAGACACTCTTTTTAACCCCCTTCTCCTTTTCACGCGAACGCGGAAGAAAGGGATTTGATGCCATTATCCCCCAATGAATTACTAAATGCCGTGTTGTTATTGGACGAGAAATGCTAAATCATCACCACGTGACAATGAGAAGCGCATTTCACGGCGCCACGACGGAGCTGAAGTGATCCTAAGAGGGTGAAAGGGATGCGGGAAGAGGAGGCAGCATCCTCTAAAAGATACTCAAAGGGAACCTACTTTATTAATGAATCTTAGTCCGACGATTAATCATCCCTTTATCTGGACAGAGGTTCTTAATGACACGAAAAAGACTCCAGGGACCGCTTTGATGTAGAAAGTGTAGGTGGAGGATGCGGAAGAGGAAAAAGAGGATCCATCCAATGAAGTCGGAGAAAGGATGCTAGTGTTCTTTCATCAACGTGATTGCATTAAGGCCAGCCACTTATAGCTGATAAATTCAATCTTGTTAAACGGCAATTTAGTAATGAATGGATGGACCGAGTCGAGTGACTCGAATTATGTAAATCCCTCGGTAGTCCGGCAGAGGGGTCTAATTGAATAGCCTCTCTACCCTTATGTGACCGCCGCTGCTCCCCTTTTCTTGTCCACCCCCGCCTTGGGTTTCATTATCCTCGTCTATGGAGGGTCTTACCGATTTTTGCAAATGATGCGATAATCAATGACTTTTTTTTTGTCTTTTTAGTTGGGGTTAAACTGGAGAGTGATTAATTTTGTATTTAATGATGCTAAATTAAATGAATTAGACCGGGAAGATGATGGAGGCTTTTATCATACGATTTTATGATTGAGGTTTTTTTTATCATACCATGATAAAAGTTAGAGTTGGATTAGTTGGTGATTGCGGTCACCGTGATAAAAAAGATTTTTAATTTTTCTACCTTTCTAACTGCTGTAACTTATAGTAATACAATATTGTTTAGGGGTTATTAAGTCTAGTCTACTTATATAGTTAAACTATTTATATTGGTGTTATAAGTCTGTATATTTATATTATAGGAGTTATAGATCATTATCGTCGTCTGTGAAAGTTTATATTGATTTTTGCAAATGATGCAACAATCAATGATCTTTTTGTGTGTCTTTTTAGTTGGGGTTAAATAGGAGAGTGATTTATTTTGCATTTAATGATGCTAAATTAAATGAATTAAATTACATGGACCGGGTTCTAATCCCAGTGATGGCTGGGTGATACGAATTTCGCACCAGGCTTATACCGACCACAGTGCTGACGTAAAATATCCTCAGTGGTAGACGGATCATGGGTTAGAATCCCTTTGATGTCAAACTACCCGAGGGAGATTTTTGTGGTTTTCCACTCCGTGTAACGCAAATGCAGTTTAGTTCCTTCAAAAAGTCCTCCACGTTAGCAAATTTCCACCACTTCTTGATCCAGGAGTTCCCTTATCTTCTGGATTGGGTTCAAAATTACTAGGCTACGGAGTTAAACATTAGTAGTTGTAAACCCAAAATTTGATCGGCTGTTCAACGATTTTTATAAAATAAAATATCACTCTGTTAATTTTTTTTTCATTAAAAATAATAGTTTGAAGCAAGCTGTGGTGGATTAGAGGATAGAGCGTTCGCCTCCCTATGAGGTGACCCAGATTCGAATCCCAGTGATGACAGATAGGTACGTATTCTGCTACCTACTCGCATCGACCACAGTGCCAACGAAAAATATAGTGGTTGACGGATCTTAGGGCAGAATCCCTTTGCAATCCGGCTGAGCGTGGAAATTTGTCTAGGTTTTTCTCTCCATATAACGCGAATGTGACTTATTTCCATCAAAGAAAGTCCCCCACTACGGCTAGTTTGTTTTAATACTTGATCCAGGAGTTAACTTCCAGGTTAATTTCTTCTAGGTTAATTTCAAAATTACAGGGCTATGGAATTGAACAGTGATTGCCGTAAGAATTGAGTCGACTGTTTAATGCCTGTCTTAAAATAAATAAATTAAAATAGTTTGTAGCAGTAAGAAGTTAAATTAAAAATTTGGCACCATTGAAACACTTGAAGAAAAAAAAGCATTTTTACAAATGTACAAGAAACTGACATCTGTTTAAGATTATCTCTCATAAATAGCATATTGAACTTGGTAAAGTTTTGACTCTGATTTTTGTTTCTTTTTCAATTTTAGTTCAAGTTTAATGTAGGTTTTTCAATTGTTTTGCTCTCCACTAAGGTGAGCATTATTTGCCATCTTGAAATGACAGAGTGCGAAGATTGCAATCAAAATCAAGTCAATCTATCTTCCTCAAACTAAGCATACTTTAATCGTATATCCATATTGACCTTAAACTAAATCAACGATATTTTTCCAACATATGAAGCATATGCTCATGTTATTATGCTA